TTCACGTACTCATACGGTGAGCGGGCCATTATTTTCAAACCATCGGTGCCGATATCTACGAGTAACGACGACTCGTACACACCCGTGGTCGTAATGAAGAGGGTGTCATACCTCAATCTCCAAAGGGTCTTGCGCTGCGTGACCATCCAAATAAACAGACTACGCGAGATCACCGACAGCGCTAACAGCTGCAAAGACACGCTGATTGCGGAGCTCGATCGCCGCGGGGATGACGCCTCCAGGGACAACATATTGGCCGATCTTCGGCTGGTTTTGGAAAAGAAAGGCCTGTAGTCGCCGGCTCTTTATCAGTTATTGGTGGAGCTACTCTCCCTGTATAACCATGAGTACCTCTCCTTCGTGTGGGGCACCACAGCTGCCCAGAACGGTCATGCTTAAGGGTTTATTCTCTTAATAAAATTGTACAGCTACTGTTTCTTACAATATACGACATATATTTAAAAAATACCAATTTTTTCTTTTTTTTGTTCCCTTCACCTCCATCTCCCCATATCTTGTCAATAATGCTAACGGACGATAGGAAATAAAACATTAAGCGTATTCCTTTATACAGGGCTCAGGCTAATCATCGAAAATGTATCACACCAGACAGCTTTATAATACATATAGCGTTTCTTACAAAAACACAGTGCTCTACTTCACCATGGGACACTTACCTCCTTAGGATAATTAAAAATTACCGACCGGCGGTCCCTGCATAACTACCGACCGTGATACGCCCCCTGGGGGACATACAACGCTGTTGCTGGGTGGTTTCGGGCCTTAGGACCGCGTGGTGGGGGGGTCCACAACTGTGTCGCAGGTGGAGGGGAGAGCTGGGTCACATAGGCGAGGGGGTGGCGCCATAGTGCAGCGCGGGGCGACACAGCGCGATGTGCTCTATGACTCATTAGGATAGTGGTGGGGGTTTGTTGTGACGGCCAGGAGTGGTGTGTATCTACTAGCATTATATCGGCTCGCTACCTGCGCTCGAGTTTTATTCACCCGATACGATGTCGTCGGCTCAGCATAATCAGTGTTTAGCATGGTATAATGAGCAGTGCTCTGCTGGGTACGTATTTAACTTTTGAACCGAGTTCATAGATTACTGTAGATCAGACGTTACCATTCTCAGGCAGGCTTGCGTTCCTTTCCGCGAAATGTTTCTTCAGCATGGCAACGTTTGCCCTTTCTCGGAGAGTATCACGCCTCGGCGTGTTCGAGAGGTTTTCGGAAAAACTTTTTGCGGGACGAGCAGATAGCTATTTTACCGCCGGGTGAGTATCGATACGGTGACAAACAATCACGTAAGGATATCTTATGGCTTCTTTCGCTGGAGCATCGTTTGGGTTGTACCATAGTTCACGCAGGGCGCACTCGGGAGTATCGTCTGCCGGAGGGTACGCCCGTCGACGGTTACTACCTGGACACCGACTCAGGTTTGCGACTCGTATTCCAGTTTCAGGGTTGTTTCTGGCACAGTTGGCCAAAATGCTATCGTATAAACAGAGATAGTCGTCTACAAACGGGTGGATCCATGGACGCGCGCTTCGAGAGAACGCAGGATACGAACGATAAGATTCGGTATTTAGGTTACGAGCTGACGGAAATTTGGGAGTGTGAATTCGACTTCTGAATAAACGATCCTGAACAGACCGCTTTATACAGATCGCTGAATGAGAACCCGCCGGTATCGCAGGCACCACTCGAACCCCGCGATGCTTTCTTTGGTGGCCGTACAGGAAATACTGTCAGTTTTTATGAAGTCGAGGGGTCTGAGAGGACACACTACGTAGATGTGTGCTCGCTCTACCCCTTTATTTCGAAAACAGGGAAATTCCCTGTAGGTCACCCTACGGTGTACGTGGGTGATGCCTGTCGCGAATTAACGGGTGATCGCAACAACATCGATAACGTGGAGAGCTTGACTAAGTGTGTGGTATTACCACCGCGAGATCTGTATCATCCCGTGTTACCGGTGCGTATGCACGGTAAACTGCTCTTTGCATTGTGTCGTTCCTGTGCAGAGGCCACACTACAGGGGTCGTGCCCTCACGAGATTCTCGTGGATAGAGTATTCGAAGGGACCTGGGTCGTGGACGAGGTCAGGCGCGCCGTACGTAAGGGGTATGAAATAACGCTGATATACGAAATATGGCAGTATGAGATTACCCAGTACGATCCGGCGACACGGACGGGCGGTCACTTTGCCGATTACATAAACACGTTCCTAAAGATTAAGCAGGAAGCTAGCGGCTGGCCGCGCGAGTGTGGCAACGACGACGAAGCCAAGAAGTTGTATATAGAGGAGTACGATCGGGTCGAGGGTATTCGTCTGGACCCTGATAATATAAAATCAAATCCCGGTCTGCGGTCAGTCGCAAAATTATATTTCAATTCCTTTTGGGGCAAGTTTGGGCAACGCGAAAATCTGCCAAAGACGGAAATTGTAACGACTCGTCAAAAGCTCGTGAGTCTGCTTACGTGTCCGGAGGTCGAGATTACAGG